TAAGGGTTCTGGTATAAAATCGTTTGTGTGTGTGTGTGTGTGTGTGTGTGTGTGTGTGTGTGTGTGTGTGTGTGTGTGTGTGTGTGTGTGTGTGTGTGTGTGTGTGTGTGTGTCAGCAGCTTGAAAGCCCTCAGGACAACTGAAGAGGCTCTAATGCACATGGGGAAATCTTGTTGCCCGCTCAAAAAGCAACTATCTTCTCTCTCCCTTTTATTAGTCCGCCTGTGAGGAAATCACATCTCTCCCTCCCCTATCGACGATCTAAAAGTGTGTATGTGTGTGTGTGTGAGTGTATGTGTGTATTACCTGAGGTAGAAGCTCTCTCCGTAGGGCAGAACAGAGAAGGCAGCACACAGAGATCTCTTCGCGCAGATAAGCACGATCCTGGAAGACGAACAAACATTAGTGTTAACGTTATTATAACATCTGTTAGGTTGACTGCTGAGGGAAAAAAGGGATCACTCGGCACATTGCCAAGCTGAACTTTTTTTTTTAAATCACACTTTTAGAGCCAATTAAACACAGAAACCAACCAAAGTAGGGCTGTGCTATTCATTAAAGCAACATTACGACTCTCCAACCAACATAAATGTCTTCATTCATCCCATTGGTGGAATAGTTACATAACGGGATAAACACATTTATTTATAATATCAAATATTTAGAAACAAATTGCAATACGTGGAATGGATTTAATTTAATGGATTTAATTTTACAATTTGAATAAAAACATTATGAATAATTATCTTACAACAATATAATTATGTTGAATGGAGATTACTCAGTTTATTTTTGTTGTTTACATTTGAATGGCAATGCAAATGTTTACACTTATTCAAGGTTATGTATTCAAATCATTATTTAGTTTTGATCAAAATGTATTCAATTTAGTTTCAGTTTTGTAATTTATTTTATTTTTCCTATTATTTTAATCTCAATCTCTGCTGTTGTTTTTAATCCACTGACCAGATGTTTGTTTTGGTCGTTTAATAGTGAAAATCTTGTGTTTTTTTCTCAGGTCCACACTCAATAAAAGTGTACTGGAAACATGTGAGACATCTGGCGGTTCCTCACAGGGTAATTAGATTTATTCACAAGGTGGAAAACATTGACTAACTGAGCTCTGACATGAAGTAAAAATGTCAAAACACACACTCGACACGTTCCTAATTGACCTAAGTGTTACACCTGAGGCCTGTACTACGAAGCTGGTTCAACCTAACCTGGATATGTTTGAGTTAGCCGGTTGGCCTAATCCAAAACATACGCGCTCTCGCTAAACGGTACTGCGACGCGGTTTATCAAGTGGATCGCTCAAGCCAGCCGTGCCCTATCTAGTTAGGTGCGCGTTCACATGAAAGGGGTAGTATTTGGAGCATTCGACCAATCACAAACATGGAGAAGCGTACTGACAGCGCAGCGTCATATTTCCTGAATGAAAAGTGAACTATAATATTAGACAAATGAAGAAGTTAAACTTTAAACATCCATGACCTAAACACTGTATCCAAGATAAAAGCCACATAGCTGCACCCGCAAGGTGAATACAGCTGGTAAAANGTGGCAAGAACACTAGTAAACTGGTGTGTCCCACTCTAGAACGCACCCAGAACCACGACGGGGGACCTAGTCAATGACCTGCAGAGAGCTGGGACCAAAGTAACAAAGGCTACCATCAGTAACACACTACGCCGCCAGGGACTCAAATCCTGCAGTGCCAGACGTGTCCCCCTGCTTAAGCCAGTACATGTCCAGGCCCGTCTGAAGTTTGCTAGAGAGCATTTTGATGATCCAGAAGAGGATTGGGAGAATGTCATATGGTCAGATGAAACCAAAATATAACTTTTTGGTAAAAACTCAACTAGACGTGTTTGGAGGAGAAAGAATGCTGAGTTGCATCCAAAGAACACCATACCTACTGTGAAACATGGGGGTGGAAACATCATGCTTTGGGGCTGGTTTTCTGCAAAGGGACCAGGACGACTGATCCGTGTAAAGGAAAGAATGAATGGGGCCATGTATCGTGAGATTTTGAGTGACAACCTCCTTCCATCAGCAAGGGCATTGAAGATGAAACGTGGCTGGGTCTTTCAGCATGACAATGATCCCAAACACACCGCCCAGGCAACGAAGGAGTGGCTTCGTAAGAAGCATTTCAAGGTCCTGGAGTGGCCTAGCCAGTCTCCAGATCTCAACCCCATAGAAAATCTTTGGAGGGAGTTGAAAGTCCGTGTTGCCCAGCGACAGCCCCAAAACATCACTGCTCTAGAGGAGATCTGCATGGAGGAATGGGCCAAAATACCAGCAACAGTGTGTGAAAACCTTGTGAAGACTTACAGAAAACGTTTTGACCTCCGTCATTGCCAACAAAGGGTATATAACAAAGTATTTAGATGAACTTTTGTTATTGACCAAATACTTATTTTCCACCATAATTTGCAAATAAATTCTTTAAAAATCAGACAATGTGATTTTCTGGATTTGTTTTACTCATTTTGTCTCTCATAGTTGAGGTATACCTAGGATGAAAATTACAGGACTCTCTCATCTTTTTAAGTGGGAGAACTTGCACAATTGGTGGCTGACTAAATACTTTTTTGCCCCACTGTATATAAAACACCGTTGCTTTCTCCTGAAAATGTATTTAAACAGTTCCCTCCTGTCTTTATTAATTAAAACAAGGGAATGGCATGTTCATAATGTGCTGAAAAACACAAAAATATACAGGGGATGTGCATCTTTTTTAAGACCTTTTTTATTTTGGTAGTCTGATAATTTAAACAAAAAAGAAAAGAATAAAACTGAAATCATAAATATTTTCTAGATACATTTATCATAGGTTCTTCCTTTAGACCAGAACAGACTGCTTAACTATCAAAAATCCCAATCAAAGTTTAAAGTCACAACATTTTATTAACAATACAGATTATTCAAGAAACTACTCTGCAGATGAATGAACAGTGAAAGTAAATTCCTTCAATGCAGCTTAACGAGGCTAGCAATTAAACCCTGGACATATAATATTTTTATAAAAAGGAAAAACAAGGATATTAGAAAGTTAGTTGAAAAACAGCATAGTGAAACAATTATTTATAGATCAGGAACCGTTACAAACATGAATTAAATCGGGAGAACCAGCATCTCTGTGGCCTTGTGTGAACGCTGGTCAGAACATAGAAAACTGTTAGTCAGACTTAAATTCAGAAAGACTCTTAAAATATAACAATACAGCTCTCAGGACATCAGAGGCCTGTACTACGAAGCTGGATATGTTTGAGTTAGCCGGTTGGCCTAATCCAAAACATACGCGGTGTCGCTAAATGGTACTACGACGCTGGTTATCAAGTGGATCGCTCAAGCCCGCCGTGCCCTATCTAGTTAGGTGTGCGTTCAAATGAAAGGGGTGGTATTTGGAGCATTCGACCAATCACAAACATGGAGAAGCGCACTGACAGCACGGCGTCATACTTCCTGAATGGAAAGTTAACTATAATATTAAGTTAAACTTTAAACATCCATGACTTAAACACTTTGTCCAGGATAAAAGCCACATAGTTGCACCTGCAAGGTGAATACAGCTGGTAAAAGAAAAAGTGTTTTGAATGCGTACATTTAAAGGTTTATGATATCACTGCCCCGTCTAAGACACGAGTGGATCTGACTTTAAATTACATTTGTCTCGAGTGTTTCGTCAACCTAATGTGTTGCTTAAAATAATACTTCTGCATACGGTATGTGAGTGTTGCACGGCCAGATACGGCTCAGCTGACTCAGATAAGGAAATATATGATACATTATGATGTTACTTTGATCCGGTTACTTATGTTGTGGCAGATATTTAAGTAAGCTTTCTTAACGCTAATGTTATAATAGTCAGATTGCGCTGAAGATGGGAGGTGATATTCTATTAATGTTCACGTTCACAGTCGGTGATTTTTGCCGGCCGTCTTTCCTGCAACGGCAGCTTTTCTGTATATCCTTTC